TTCAAATATCCAGGCTGTGCCCTTTTCCCACTGCCTGTTTACACCTTGGACAGCAAAAGACAAAAACAGCTATTGGCTGTCTAACTTCTGATATTTCCTGGAGAGTTTCCCAGTTTCAAACCTCCAGGGGAACAAAAAAGTTCCTTGCAGTTACCTCTGCTAATGGAAGACTTGGCACAGACAGGATAAAACACTGATTTCTAAAATACATTTTATTTGAGAGCCCCCCAACCCGACCCCATGTGTGACTCCAAGCCACACAAAAACAGTTCCCAGCCCATTTTGAGCTCTACTATAAAAACCAAAGTTTGTTAAAGATAATTCCAGTCAGAAACCTTCCAGGCCCTGATGTTCACCAGCTGATTTTGATGGCCCTCACTGGTGTGGAGGCTCCAGACAGGTGTCCTCTCTAAGCAAGGACATGGAATGTCCTTGACTCAAGAGCAGAACACTTAAATTCCTTGCTTTTGTTTTATTAAACCTCCTGTACATCCCCAGCTAAGTGCATGTTCTGAATACTCTCCACAAAGCCCTCACCACATTTCTCACTCCGAATAAACAAGAGAGGAGGTCGGGGTGCTTTCAGGATGGGAAGTGAAGGCTCTCAGCTCAGATGGAGCCCAGATACCACCCAGGAGTCAGCACCAGCACATTTTCCAGCCTGGGAAGCTCTGGGGGTGTTTGTTAATTGTGTTTAATTGGGGCTAAGCAGGGCAGGAGCTTCCAGCAGGAAGGTGCTCATCTGCAGAAGTCCCTGATCCTGGAAACAGCCACTCCTGGGGAAGAGGGCAATGCCAACACGGGGACAAAAGGAATTTTGCCAGCCTAATGCTGAGGGGCAGCCCTGGAAATCAAGGAAGGTGTTGTGGAAAGCCCCGGCACTGCAGCTCCCCTGGACAAAAGCTGGCAATAAAGTCCAGCCCATTTCAATCCCTGGAGCCCAGCCTGCCTCAGGATACCCCAGTTTTTAGGATGGTTTTCACATCCTTCCACAGCATTTTCCAGATCTCCGCTCGCTGCCCCTCTGTGCACAGACACTGACGCTGAAAATGTGATGCGAGACATGAAAAAGTTCATTTTTGTGGCCCAGCTTTTAGTCCAGGGCGTTTTCACGTGCACAGATTGCTCTCATACAAGCAGATGAAGTCTCACAGAGGCATGTGCTGGCCTGACCTCCCCGTGGGGCTGAGCACAAACACGAACAGGAGCTGCCCCTCTGCACTCTCCAACTTTATTTCCAGAGCCTGTGTGTCCCCCTTGCTGCACAGCTGCCATCAGAGAGCACACTAGTCATTTGCAGAAGCTGGAGCCAGGCTTAAAAACTCCATTAATTAAGTGTTGGCGGAGGTGTTTGGAAAGATGTTCCCATAAATATAGTGCTTTAAAGTGTTTCCCTAGAAACTGAGAAAAAAGTTGAACAATATGAAAAATACCCAGGCTGATGACTCCCCCATGGAGCAGTGCCTGGGCTGGAGGGAGTGTTTAGGAAAAAGAACTTTTTCCCCAGTGTTTTTTTTTTTTTTGGCTGCTGGAAATTTTTGGCTGGTGGCACAAAATATAAAAGTGAGCCTCTTAATCATTCCTTGCTCCCCTGAGCCCTCCTGCTCTGCCCTGGTGCTGTTGGCAGGTGGGGAATGCTGCAGGTTCAGGAATGCCCCAGGTGTTTGAGTGCTCCCAGGACGTGGATTCCTCCCAAAGTGTCCCTGCTGTGCCCAAGCACCTCAGCACCTCCAGGCACAGAGAGGATACGCCTGGCAAAGCCCACAGCCTCTTTCAGCTGGCTGCTTATAGGATTTCATGGAATAACTGAGGTGGGAAAAGCCCTCCAGGATCACTGAGTTCCACCTGTGTCCCATCCCCACCCTGTCCCCAGCCCAGAGCACCCAGTGCCACCTCCAGCCCTTCCTGGGACACTCCAGGGATGGGGATCCAAACCTCCCTGGGCAGTTCCAAGGCCTGAGCACCCTTTCCATGGGGAAATTCCTGCTGATGTCCACCCTGAGCCTGCCCTGGCACAGCCTGAGGCTGTTCCCTCTCGTCCTGGATGTCCCCCTGGTTGTTCCCTCCTGTCAGGAGCTGTGCAGAGCCACAAGGTCCCCCCTGAGCCTCCTTTTCTCCAGGCTGAGCCCCTTTCCCAGCTCCCTCAGCCCCTCCTGGGCTTCCAGCCCCTTCCCCAGCCCGAGGGACCAGGTGGAGAAAAGAGGGTTTGGCAGAAAATCTTCTCAATCAGTTCATTTATCTCTGCAGAAATGCAAGAGCAAATCCCTTTCTGGCTGGATGCTGCTGATAGCACAGAAGGATTAGAGCTGCTCTTCCCTTGGAAAGGGAAGGAGGAAGAAAGCTCCAGGCTGATTGCAGCCTGTTAAATGACATTTTATAGCCTGCTATTTCTCACCTAAGCACAAGTGTGATCAAAGGACTTGAGATAAACAATGATTTAATGACTCCAAGTGTAGAAGCTGGAGAGGTTTTGAAAAGAGCTTGTGTACACAAGAATAAACACTTCTATTGCAACCTCAGCTGTTTGCTTTCCATGAATCCCCACTGCCAGGGCACCAGAGCACTCAAACACTTCCCTCAACTCCTTCCATTTCCTATATTTTGGATCATTTTGGTGCCTATTTGATTGCAACCAGTCGGCCCAGCTCTTGTGCCCCTCAGGAGTGGCTGGAAGTGTCCCGAGCAGGGGGGAGGAGGCACAGTCCAGCTCCTCCAGGACATCCTGGAGCTCCAGGGATGGGTCTTTGAGTCCCTGTCTCTCCCTCTGTGACTTTTGCTCCTGTTTCCCCCAGGTTTGGATGGGGAGAGGAGATTGAGGAGCTTCCCTGCCTGTGCACAGCACCAGGAGCCAAACCCATCCCATCAACAGCTCCAGTTCTTGTGACCCACAGGGAAAAGGAGCCAGCACAGCAATCTCCAGGATTTGGGACTCACCAAACACACAATTCCCTCCCAGGGGCAGGGATGGACCAGTGCCCCCCGTGCCTCTGTATCAGGCCTTTGGGTTAAAAAATGGGATTTTGCCTTTGCTCCAGAACAAACACAACCAGTCCAACCGATCTGATCCCTTGTTCCCTCCCCTTGCTGCTCATTCCTCAAAGTCAAGGTAAGATTAATGAGCTGCACACAGAATTTCTGGAGGGCTCTGCACTTTTCAAGCCACAGAAACACCTTCAGCAACAAAGTGAGAAAACTAAAGCTGATAAAGCCAAGTTTGGAAGCAATTAACATCAGTCTAAAATTCAGTGGGTTTGGGGGCTCAGCTTAAAAATAAAAAGCAATTACTGCTGTGGCAAACTGAAATAATACCTTGTTTTTCCAAAGTTGACTTAGCAAAGGGAGCCTGCCTTCACCTGCAGCTTGAATGAAAAGGGTTTTGTAAAAGCTGTTTACCTGCACTGAAGGTGCTGGTGATTTTTTTTTTTCACCTGTTTATCCAGACTGTAAGAACTTGAGGAAGCAAGAGCCCTTTATTGTGTGAAGCACTCAGGACAACATCCCAAAATCTGCCTGGAACACAATTGTGGGATCAATATTTCCCATGTGTGGGAAAAGCCAGCATCCCTAAAGGAGACACAGGAGTCCTGCAACTTGATTAGAATAAAAGGAGAGAGTCCACTGGGGAATCTCAAAATTCCTTTTATCCCAAACTCCCGGCTGCATGTAGCTCTCCTCCTTTCCCCACTGGTTCTGCAATAGGATTTGTGCTGACCCTTTTACCTGTGACCCTAAAGTTCAGGAGTCAAACTTGTCTGGGGTCTGTAACAACCTTGCCCTTGAGGTTGCTGGAGACATTAGGAGCCACTTTAAAGCCATTAATTAACAGCCCCGGAATTGTTTGTAAAGACATTAGCACACATTTTCCCTTATCAGCATTAAGGAGATTTTCCAAGGGAAGTTTCAGCCAGCCCAGCAAAATCAGGTGTCAGCTTTGACACCTGATCACTCGAAGATCAATTAAGTGTCATTTCCCAAATTGTTGCAGTCGGTAAAGAGGAAAGAAGAGGGAAGAAAGGTGAGGGGGGAAAAGGTGTGGGGGGAAAAAAAGACAGGGAAAAAGGCATCAGGGGAAAGGATGGGGAAAAGGCAGGAAAAAAAGCAGGCTAAAGAAAAAAAAAAGTGGGGAAAAAGGGGGTGGGAAAAAATGGTGGGGGGGGTGGTAGTGAAGGGACAAAGGGAAAAGGACGGGGGAAAAAGGCAGAAAAATGCAGGGCAAAAATGCCATGCAGAACTGGTGTAGGTAAGAGTCACCTGTGCTCCCAAAATGTAATAAGAGAGTGAGATTTGGCTCCCATGACATAAGGAGGGACTGTCAGACCAACAGAAGCTCTGCCTCATTCCTGGCAGCTGGGAATGCTGGAGCAGGGAGATGAGGGGAGCCTTACCCAAATCTGGGAAGGTTTTCATTGTCTCAAAGGCATGGCACAATTGTGACTTACACTGGTAAGAGCCCAAGCCAGGCAGAGTTTGGCCTCTCTGGATTTCTGTAAGCAAATTGAGATTTTCATTTCAAACCACTTGACAGGATCTCGTTAACCTAGTGCCTGTAATAAATGTACCCAATAACAATCGCCGAGTCACATGAAATTAAAAAGTCCAATAAAATATAAATAGGGAATACTCGTGGGTCATTTATTTTTCTACTCTGGAATTAGAGAAAATGAGGTCTGCCACCTCCCTCGAGCTGTGATGAATTCAAGTTCCAAACTGAACTGTCAAAAATTTCCAGGAATGTCTCTCCAACATCACATTGCAACCTTTTCAAAATTCATAACATTTTCTACTGAAAAGAAATCCTTGACTTGTCTGGGTCACATTTGACACCTCTCCAAATACCAGGGTGATGTCACGTCCTCAGAGAAGCTCCAGGAAACCCCAAACCAGGCCCTGCTGTATGAGCAGAGAGCTTTATCTGCAGGCAGAGAGGAAATGCTCCCCTGCAGCCTTGGGGACACTTTGGGGCTCACTGCCCACCACAGCTGAAGAGTCCTTCCTCCTACCTCACATTCACATCAAGCTCTTCCATCACAGGCAACAGGCACAGGCAGCTGGGAGTTCAATGTCCATAGGAGAGACCTCATCCTGCAGCAGAGACAGAAACGCAGGGATTAGTTCCAGCATCTCCCCTAAAAGCAGATTTCCCCCACTGGAGGATCCAGCCCAGGTGCTCTTGGTGTTTTGGCCACCTGGGCACCCAGCAGCTCATCTTCAGCTGCTTTGGACCAGCACTTCCAGCTCTTTTTCCATCAGGCAGCTTCCCCCAGTCTGGCTGTGCCCTTTCCAAAATACCTGCACACCTGCAAGACTTCCCCAGCAACTTCCCAACTTCCAAAGGTACAAAAAGTAGCTTGAATAGAGCCAAGCTGAAGAAAGCTTGCAAAGCCCAGGTGGGAAAACACAAGCAAGAAGGCTTGGTAAATTAGTTTCTGTTTTTACACAAACCTAAAACATTGACTTACCACTAAATTAAACCAGGTTTCCTGTGACACTCTATTGTGCAGCCTTATGAATACTTAATAGCAGTGCTCTAATTACAAAGAACTAAATGCTTTGCAGCTTGAGTTAAAATAAATGTACTTACTTCCAGCGCCACTAAGTGATGTAAATATTAATGGGGTTTTTAACTCTATCAAAATTCCATCCTGACTCCAAAGAAATGAATGCACCATCTTAATAATGTGCTTGTGCATTTGCTGCTGCTAATCCAGTGGAAAAAATAGGCTCAGTTTCGGAGCACTTGAGGCTGTTGATTACCCCTTGTGCTGTCTCGGGGGAGGGAGGGATAAAGGCACCACCACGGCGCTGTTCATGCCAGCCCAGATGCAAATAATGCCTCTGTGGCTCCTTGGCTTCAAAGGAAAACTGGAATAAAAGTGCCTCAGCCTTCCCAGACGCTGATGGCAGGTTTGCAATGCAAATGAGCCCCCCACTCTCCAGACCCGGCTCAGGTTTGCCACGAGGAGTAATTCAGGATGTATGTATTAGACATCATTTTGCAAGGGAAATTTTCTGGAGTCAAAATGATATTTTTATAAAAAGAAAAAAAATCCACAACAAAACAAAACCACAGAGTTTGGCGGGTCCCTGTTTGCAGCTTAAACCTTCAGCTGGTGATTCTTTGATTCTTTGGGCACTCTGCAATCTGCTGATTCAAAAACTGCTGCTGTATTTTGCAAAGAAAAGGGTGAGAGGTCTAGAGATTCACCTCTGCATCCCTAAGACCTGACCTCCAACCTGAATTTGGAGGAAAAACCCAAAAATCCGCTCTCCTGTGCTCCTGCTCTGGAGTTCTTCCATGGGACAAAATACCTGGTATGGTTTCTCCCTGTGAGATATCAGCATAGAACTAATTCTAATTTCTCCTGCAAAATGGATTTAAAACTCATTAATTATTTTGTATGTCAAAATTCCAGGTAGGGGGCCTCTTTCTTCCTTTGTTCTTCCAGGAAAAATTGTACTTGTAGTGTGCACTGATGTTACACAATATCTGTACCATCGTGCTCTCATGGAGACTTCCACAATAACCAAAACTTTCTATATAAGAGTGAAATAAAAACCCCAAAAGAAAAATTTCTGAAATGGAAAAAAAAAATCTTCACATACAAAACCTCCCAAATAACAAAGGCAATCCAGGAGCCAGCGTGGAAAGGCTGCACTGGTGGCACTGGGGAACTCAGGGGTGCTCCAGCTCACCTGGCACACCACTGTCCCCCTGGCCTGCCTCTGCCCCTTCCCCTCCTCATCTCCTGGGGGAAATGGGAAACCCAGTGAATGGATAAAAGGATAAACGCCATCCATGGATAAATGGATGGATCTATCCCTGGATTTAAGGCATTAACAAAGATTTCACCTGTCACAGCCATTGGGAGTGGCTGGTGGCCAACAGGAGACCACAAAGCCCCACAGAGTGACCTGCTGTGCCCAGGGGAGAGGGAAGTGTCCCCCCAGATGGCAGCAATGGTCACACCACCTTCCCTGCCAGCAGCAGCTCACTGAGACACTGACGTTCTCCATCCTCTTTATTTCCATCCCACTCAGCCCATCAGGTTCCACTCCCTGTCACTGCCGAGCTGGTGACAGCAGGAGTTGAGTCACCGTGCAGAACTCCCACCCCCATTTCCTGCGGCTCTGGGCTCTGGAGCTGCTCCTCCGCTCGTGCCACCCCAAAGGAAACACATCCCAGGTGGGCTGAGGGCTCTGCAAAACCCATTTCCATCCCCACGGACCCACAGTGGGCTGAAAAACCCATTTCCATCCCCACGGACCCACAGTGGGCTGAGCACTCTGCAAAACCCATTTCCATCCCCACGGACCCACAGTGGGCTGCAAAACCATTTCCATCCCCACGGACCTACAATGCCCCTCCTGCCCTGCCAGGGATGGGTTTGAGCCCTGAACCAAAGCAGCAGTGGGCAGGGACAGGCTCCAGAGGCAGGAATTGCGCCAGGGAACCCTCCCAGGGGAGAAGTGACACGGAGTATATTCCAGAGCACGGAACACCGCTGCCACAATTCAGCCATGGACAGCAGCTGGCAGCTTTTCCAACACTCATTTACCAGGGAACAAAGCAAGTAAGGAGCCTCACACAAACCTTTCCCTCTGTCAGCAATTTGGCTTCCAGCCAAACGCTTTTTTCCTTAAATACAACAAAATTCCTCACCTGAGACCAAGAGATTCTTCCTTGGCCAAGGCTGAGACCCTGTACTGATCAGGGACCCTCAGTTCCTGAATTAATTCTGATTTAATCCATGGAGCCAGCTCCATTAGACACAAACCTGTGCATAGGAGACTCAGACTGGACCAGCTGCACCCCAACTCCATCAGGAGAGCAAAGGGGTCCACTCTGAACCCCACAGCTCAGTGGGAGGGTCCCCCTGACCCTTTTGGGTCTCTGGTCACTGTGTAAATCATTCCAGATCAGTTTTAACTCTATTTTCCTTTGTATTTTTCCTCCCCGTAGTAAGGAACAGAGTGAGCCTTGCTGTTGAACTTTCTCAATTCACACTTTTACCACATCCTACCAGAATCCCTTCTGCCAATACCATTGGAGATAACTCTGAGTGATCAAAATTACCCATTTGTGACACACTCTGCTGCGCCACAGAGCAGGGAGGGGGATGTAAAAATAAAATAAAACTAAACTAAAAATACTAAAACTAAAAATACTAAAATAACTAAGAAACCCACCTAACTAAATAATAAAAAACTAAAAATACTAAAATGAAACTAAATTCAGTTTCTGCATGTTTCATGCTCTCAGTGAAGAGCTGGACTTATCACTGAGTGACTTTGTTCTTCTCTTTGCAACTGTGAGATAAAAAAATCCTCTTTCTAATGATGTTTGCCAGCTTTCTAGAGCACGGTGTGGTGTGCAGTGATGATGGCTGATTTCAGCACAGTTTTCTGACAGACACATGTTTTTTAGGGAGTAACACAGAGCAGAAGATGTTTAGAAACTCTTTAGCCTTCCCCTGGAAATTGCTATCCTTTTCCCCTGAAAAAAATATCATTTTCCCCTGGAAACTGAACACCTCAGGGAGGAGTTTTTGGAAGTGCAGGGAGTCATTTTGCCCCCATCCAGTGTGGGATTCCTGACTGAGGCCAGCAGAACCACTCTAACATAAATCAAGCCTGCTACTGCAATTACACCCATGATTTCAAGAGGCTCCTCACTTTCTGTAGAGAACAGCTGCTAAATTGAAGCTGGGATTGAATAAAAAGAGAGGTGTTGCTTTGATTCCCTACACATTTCACTTTTGGGGTGGCGATTTTCCTCATAGCTGCATCATTAGCAGATAAAAAGAAGTTGTTAGCAGAGGTAAACTGGACCAGACCTTCCCAGCCCACATTAAACTGCTATTTTTGAAGTGAACAAAAACAGCTGCAGCATCAGCATCCAAAAATTTGCAATGAATGGCCCACAAATTAGCACAGAAAAGAATCTGAATGTTGTCAGAGTTTGTGATTCGTAGTTCTTAATCTAAAATTCATCTACATCTAAAAATCTGCACTATAAAGCTCAGCATTCAGCCATCTCCACAGTTCTCAGGAGTGAGATATTCCTTATTCTTGAGCTCACCTGGACTCAGGCTGGGTTCCTCCTGTGCTAAATTACTTTGGAGGCTGCAGCATGCTCAGAGTGCAGGGATTTATGGATGGGATGGTCAGTGAGACTGGAAAGGGCACAGGCAGCATCCGTGAAGGTCTTTATTTTGAAATTCTGTGGTTTTAAACAAGAAAAAGGTTTGGTCACAACCAGGTAAAGCAGCTGAAGAAAGACCTGAAATTTCTATGAAAAATATGATATAAAAGGTTGTCTTTTGTGGATTCATTTAGGGCAGGAGTCTGAAACAGGGCAAGAGCTTCTGCTGGCCAGGCAGGTTGGAAATCCTCTAAATTCAAGGTGCTTTGGGGCATTTTTCACCAAAATTCCTTTATTTTCACCTACTGAAGCTCCTTTCTGTCCTCCCCAGCACTTGTGCCAAACCCTGATTATGAATCAGCTGGGCCTAAGTGTGCCCAGCCCCAAACAACTGCAGAGACTCCAAATTGTGGCACAGAAAAGCAAAACTTGGCCAGTTTTCCATAAAGGAGTTGCAGAAGGGAGCTGCCACCTTGGCCAGCACACCTCTGGAATTCTCTCCTTGTTTCCAGGCTCACCTGGCAGCACAGGGATACCTGGGGACAGCACAGCACCACTGCAAATGTTTATAAAAACCCCAAAAAGTGCCTTTAAAATGCTGAATTCCTGTTTGCACTCCCTCTCTGGAGCACAGGGACACACAGGGGTGGAGGAGTAGCTGCAGCCTACAGATGCAGTTTGATGCTGCTTTTAAAAACTTCCATGTGGGTGTTTGCCAAAGGAGCTTTTCTTTTATATATATAATTTATTTTCTTCCCTGCTCGTGAAACAGCTGACTTTTATTCATATTTACACAGTCCCTCAGAAAGCAAATGAAAAACTCTTCCTGAGAAGTTGCAAAGTATTAAATTAGCCAAAAGTAAATATTCTTTTTGGCAAACAAGTTCCAGGTGTGGCTGCCAGACTCCTTCCACCCAAAGCTGCAGCATTTAAGGGAACAAAAGAGCCTGCATATGACAAAAGGAATGTCACTGCTATTCAAATAAAAACAGATTTTGCTCTCAAGCAAAAGCTGTTTGAGAGCCATTTCTTTTACCTGGATGCTTTTCCCAGGGCTGGCAGAGGAATCAGGGGGGCTCTCAGTGCCCAGAATGATCTGGCAGCTTCCCAAGCCATTCACAGTCACTCGCAATGAGTAATTTATCATTTTGGAATTTTTTTTAATTTCTATTTTTCATTCTTGCTCTCCCCGATCCTTTAAGATCCCCCCATACACATTTATCATCACAAAATTTTCTGCTTTGAGTTTGTTTTACCCTGAAATCCCCTGACTCCAGCAGTGCTCGGAGACCTTTCCACAAAGTCAAAAACTCCCGTGGCTTCGTTTTAGCCCATGGAAGAAGCTGCCAACTTTGTATGAGGAATTACAAGCCACAAGGGTTTGAGTAGTGTGGTAGCTGAATTAACACAGGGTGAAAAAGTAGAAAGTTGGGTTTTTTTAGAATGTAGTTCAGGGGGTCAAGATGGAGGATTTGGGCACGTCCTGGCCTTCTTCTCCTTCTTCTTGCCCTCCATGTCTTGCTGTGCTGGTGACACTTTTCTGTTGGTTTAAGGTAGACACACTGTCCAACACAGATGATGGGTATTGGCACAGTGTTGTAAACAGACTGTACCTAACTTTTGATATAAAATGTAAACGCCACCCGAAGGGACAGGCAGATTTCCATGGATTCCTTTCTGGATGGACCTCAGCAGGTCAGAGAAAGAATGTTACAGCTAAAGAAAAATAAAAACCTTGAGAGCTCGATCCTGCGCATTCCAGACTCCTTCTTTGGCTGCACGGGCTGGGAAATGAGGACTTTTACACTCTTGGGATCCCCACAAGCTTACCCCGAGACCCTGCCACAAACCTTCTTCACTCAAAGCAGCAGCCACTGAATTTTCTCTTTGCCTGGCAGGAAATGCCATCAGGCCCTGCTCTGGAAGATGCAGAAGTGTCGTTTGAGCTCATTTAGCACAAATCAGTGCCCAGGGCAGGGAGGGACACCCGCTCCAAGCGCTGACTGAGCAGCCCAGTTTTGGTCACACCAATTCCCTGGAAGCCGTTCTCTCCAGGAATTCATGGGCAGCAATCCGATGTTCCCCCACCCTGCTTTTCATCCCAGCTCCTCAGAGATTGGGATGGGGCAGGGGAGAGGGCAGGGAGAGGCTGAGATGGGAGGAGGGAACGGATCCGGCCTCAGAAGAGGAACTGACGTTGCAGTTTTTGCCCTGCTCATTGTACAGTAAATAAAGAATTAAGGAAGATTGCTGGAAATGTGTCCATTCAGGCAGCAGCTGGATTTCCTGTTAATTGCTTTGGCAGTGAGGGAGGAGGGAGAAGTGTGGAGACATCACAATGAGCAGCGAGTGCCTGGTGGGTACCCAAAGCCTTACTCTGCACGTGTGCTGCTAATGATAGAAATAGAGATGTGCTCTCACCAAATCCCCTACTTAGTGAGGGAGGGTGAACACAAAAAATAAATCTGTCTCTCAGGGAGACAGAGAGTGCAAAGTAATTTTTCATGGCATTTGTTTTGGAGGAAGGAGTGGCACCAGGTTTTCCCTGCACCAGTGCCACGAGCAGCACAGCCCCAGTGCCCCCAGTGGCTCCCACTGCCCTGAGACTGGAGCCAGCTGAGCACAGCGAGAGGAGGGGCTTGGCATGAAAAGGACCAGCCCAAAGCACAGAAATCACAGAAACATGGGATGGTTTGGGTTGGAAGGAAGTCAAAACTCTTCTATTCCACCCCCTGTCATGGCAGGGACACCTTCCACTGTCCCAGCTGCTCCAAACCCATCCAGCCTGGCCTTGGGCACTGCCAGGGATGCAGGGGTGGCCACAGCTGCTCTGGGCACCTGTGCCAGGGCTGCCCACCCTCCCAGAGAGGAATTCCCTCCCTGCATCCCATCTAAACCCACTCTCTGCCAGCTGAAGCCATTCCCTGTTTCCTGCACTCCAGATTAACCCTGTCCTGTGCCAAGCCTGGCCTTGGCACCTGACAGGCAGCTCTGGGTTCACAGGGAGGGGAAGCTGCTGGGAAAGCTGGAGATATTTGGATATTCACCCCGGGTGCAGTCAGGAAGGGGAAAGAGAACCTGTGCTAAGGTCACACCTTTCCAAGCCAGCCAGGGCAACCAGCAAGAAGGGGCTGTGAACAGGGAAGCAGGAAGCCCTGAGCTGACACAATCTCCTGCCCTGTTATCTGCACCTTTGCTTTATTATATTTAATCAGGCTTTTGATCTGGGGGAAGAACACCTGAAGAGAAAACGGCACCAAAATCTTTTGTCAGCACCAACTTTGCAGATCCAATAAAACCTCAGAGCGACATCAAGTCAGCAGATCCAGCAAACAGCTTTTCTTTGGGACCTTGGCTTTTTCACAGAAAATCACATTACACTGCAATCAGACTTTTCCAACAGGAAGTTCCCATTTGTCACTTAAAAAACCAACTCGCTACCAAGAAAATCTGTCATGCAGTTGTTTCAGCTCTGTATTTCTTTCCAGGCTGTAAAGCAGATTCTGAGGCCATGGAGAGAGGAATCAGATGGAGGAAAAAGCCTGGAAGAGACCCTGAGGAGCAGTTTGAGCAGACCCAGCTATACTTTAACCTGCTGTGGATGACATTTGGAGATGGAGCTTCCACATTCTCATTATGCAGGCTCCCAGGGGAAGCACATGTAGGGATTTTTCTAGGCTCTCTTCTAAATCTTCCTTGCTGCATTTTATTGCTGTGACTTCTTTGCCTGCCCTCGACAGACTGGGTTTATTCCTCTTGCTGCAGACCCTGCTACATCTGCACAGCAGCCCCCTGGACAGCCCTGGCCGTGCTGGCACTGACCCAGAGCCCCCCTGCCCCAGCTCTGCTCACTCCTGAGAGCTCCCAGACCCCTCCCGTGCCTTTCCCAAAGTGCAAACCTGAAAAAAGCACTGGGAGGGAGGGTTCCTTCCATGCTTTCCCCATCCCACCCCTGTGGATGGGCACTGCTGCTGGGTTTGCCCTTTTCCAGCATTAGTTGAGGGGTTTGGTAATTCCCTGTTCTCTCTGTGTGACTTTCATGTCCTTTTCCATGCAGTGCCTTCCTATACCTGATCATGGAATCACAGCATGGGCTGGGTTGGAAGGGACCTAAAGCCCACCCAGTGCCACCCCTACCATGGCAGGGACACTTTGCACTGTCCCAGGCTGCTCCAAGCCCAATGTCCAGCCTGGCCTTGGGCACTGCCAGGGGTCCAGGGGCACCCACAGCTGCTCTGGGCACCTGTGCCAGGGCTGCCCACCCTGCCAGGGAACAGCTTCTTCTCCAGGCTGAGCAATCCCAACTCTCTCAGCTTTTCCCAATCCTCTTGGCCTTTTCTCCATCCTCCCCTCGTGCAGGCAGCAACTCCTGCCTTGGCACAGCCCATCCTCACCAGCTCCATGGATTTCCTTGTGCACATCCTTCCTCAGCAGACACCCAGGGATGAACACAGACTCCCAGAGAAAGCCTCAGGAGGGAGGTGGGAATTTTGCACTGATCCACCCTCCTGGATCCTCAGGAGCTGTGGGCACTCAGGTGGGACAAGGCTGGTCCCACCCAAGGCTGAGAGGAGCAAATTCCCAGTTCCTGCCATGGGATATCTGCACCTGGGGGGTGCAAACTCATCACCAGCAGCTCCATGGCACAGAGACCTCCTGCAGTTTTCCATGGCTGGTGTGAATTCCAGAGGAGTGGTCCTGCTGCAGAGGCCATCCCACAGCCATCTCTCTCCGGGCTGCTTTTCCTGCTGGTGTTCCTTTTAGCTGGGTTTTGTTAAGTGCTAAATCACCCAAAAATGTTTCCATGAGCCAAGATTGGAGCTCTGCGTTGCCTATTTTTGGATCCTTGATCTGGGCTCTCATTGCTGATTCTTTTTTTTGTGTGTGTGTTTGTTTTTAAATAAACAAAAGCTGGAACAATAAATGTCTGGGCACCCAGAGAGTAGTGAGGGATCAGATGTTTGCGAGAAGGAAAAGAAAGGAATTCTGCAGAGCCAGAAGACCTCTCAGCTCATCTGTCAGGGAGGGGAGGGCAGGGAGTCCTTGGGATGCAAACAAACACTGATGAGCCGGAGAGA